AAGTGTCAAAGGCATGCTAGAGCTGAACGGAGACTTCTCTTTGACAAGATTAGAAGGCCTGAAAGGGGTGAACAGGAAATAACACTATATTGTGTAATGCCGTGTCTCTTTTCTTCCCATAATGATCTGCTAACCTCCTATCCAGGCCCCCATGTTGCACTGCCCCAGGAGCCATAGACTGCAATGCAAATGACATCCCTTAGAGTTTTGCAGTGCACAGCCTGACCAACCATAAACATTCCTCATGTTGGAAAACAGTGACAGAGCCCACAAGGCTTTACAGAGGAAATGAATAGCTTAGTAGTGTCATGGAGGAGAAAAAGGATCTTATCGCATTAAGCCAGAATCCCTTGGAACACATTTGCTGTGTTTGTCTCTTGGTATCATCTAAGATCTAAGAAATGTAAGAGAGCAGAAAGAAAACAAGATCTCAGAGTGGAGGTTTTGAATTCTGATTTCCAGGTCTCTGCAAAGCAAATGTCCTGGGGTGAGTCTGTAGTGAGTAGACCTACTTCATTGCTAAGGTCTGTTTAATTCTAAGGCCATAGGACTCCCTATTTTCCGTAAATGCACCTACTTTATTTTAAAGCAGCATTTCCCGCCCTCCATATCTTTCCAAATTAAGTTTGCCGGCTCATTCAAAACACTGAAAAAAAATTTTGACATTTTCCTCAAACTGAGGTCCCTTCCTGGGGGCAGCCGTTTCTATCATGATTGATGCATTTACATGGGAGCCACGGAGTGTGGCCCCACATGGTGGACTTCTAGTTTATTCGGTTTCAGTCTGTTTTTCCAGTTGTAAGTAGGCAGATGGGATTTCTCTGCCTTGGTGAGCTTCCTAACAAAACAGTCAGAGGAACCCATCCTTTTGTAAGCTTATTGCTAAGGCCTTTTAATTTTTTATTTCAGCACGTAAAGGCTTCATTGTTTTCATATATATGTTTTTCTGCATTATTTGGGTATTAATTTTCTTGCCTTTTGGTAACCTTACTTCCAAGGGCTTATCAAGGGGGCTTAAGTTAGTAAGCTTCTCATTTGATGAGTGGTTCTCAACTTGGACTACACACCTGAATCGTCTGGAGAGGCGCAGCATCTATGAACCCATCTCCAGAGCGTGTGTCTTAATCGGTCACGTGTGCAGCGTGGATCTCGGGACAAAGGTGCATCTGAGAGCAAGAACCGCTGCATTCGTTTAGTGCTTCCAACTTCAATGTGCATATGAGTCCACTGGGAATCTTGCTAAAATCTAGATGCTGATTTGGTGTAGCTGAGGTGGGGGCCTGGGATTCTCCATTTCTTTCTTTTCTTTTTAAAAAATGTTTAATGTTTTTATTTTTGAGAGAGAGAGAGCAGGGGAGGGGCAGAGAAAGACGGAGACACAGAATCCAAAGACAGGCTCTGGGCTCTAGCTGTCAGCACAGAGCCCTACACGGGGCTCAAACCCATGAACCGCGAGATCATGACCTGAGCCAAAGTCGGATGCTTAACCGGCTGAGCCACGCAGGGGCCCCAGATTCTGCATTGCTAACGGGCTTCCGGGGAATAGGCTGCTGGTGGAGGACCACATTTTCTAAGGCTCCAGATGAATTGATCTACTTCTAAATGTGCTTTTTTCTCAAACCAGGGCTAATTAGCTCTGTCACTCTCATTCTCATCCTGTTCAGTACCTACGCAGTCTCGGGCAGCACATAGCTTATAGGCAGTGATGGTAGTTCTGTGTATATACTGCTGTTTCTGAATTTCTCGTAGCAAAGACTCTTATTCCCTTTCCATAGGAAAGATTATGTGAAAAAAAAGCAAAGGCCCCTCCAAAAGTAGGGTGCAGATTGCTGATACGGGGCCTCACTTAGCACCCCAGAGTTGGTATAAAGAGGCTTTGAAACTGAGGACATTTGGGATTCATCAGATATAGAAAGAAATCTTGGGGCAGCTGGGTGGCTCAGTTGGTTAAGCAGCTAACTTCAGCTCAGGTCATGATCTCATGGTTCGTGGGTTCAAGCCTGCATTGGGCTCTGTGCTGACAGCTCTGAGCCTGCTTCGGTTTGCTGTATCCCTCTCTCTCTGCCCCTTCCCTGCTTATACTCTGTCTCTCAAAATAAAATAAAAAGCATTAAAAAAAAAAAGAAAGAAATCTTTTTGGAACTTCCTTTATCCAACTAGAAGTAGAAACTTCTGGGAAATGAGACTGCCATTCTCTCTTCTGGGTGGCTTTTACTTCCACAAAGGAGACCAAGGGTAAACTTACTACAGGTACCCTCTTCAGGGGACTTTTATGGCCTTGAAGAAGACAGAAAGACCATTCATGGTTGTATGGCAAGCATTATCACACTTTATCTCCTGGGTTGTTTTTTTTTTTCTTTTAGAAACTCACTTGTTTTTCCCATAGAGACCTTTTCTCTACTATGTAAGGTATTTAAGCATCTAACTTGAGCTGTTTATTGAGTTTTCTCTTGTAAGCACCTGAACGCAGATGAATACATTTCTCTCTTGTTAATCGGCTTTTTATCAGTTTAATTTGCAGGCACCCCTGAACAGAATGTAAGAGAATAGAGGAAAAGGTCTTCCTCTCTGACACCAGGCCACTGTAGGCTGCTATTAAGTAACCTTCCCTTACCTGGGTCTTTCTCTGTTCCCTGTTCAGCCCTCCACCCCCATTCTTTCTCATTTACCTCAAGGGAAAAAAAGAAATCAAATCATGTTATCTAAATGAGTCTTCTGACTCATAATTCCTAAGCTGTTTTCTGTCCCTTTAATAAAGCTCATGAGACAGACACACATATTCCTTTAAAAGCATTCCCCCAATTACGGAGATGGCAGACGAGATCCACGGAGCGGCCGGTCCACACCAGTGGAGAACGCTACCCCAGTGCAAGTGGAAATTCTCTGCAAACGGACCTTCTATGACATCGTATAGCCATAATATCTGGGTTGTAGTAATAATGTTCCCTACACACGTTTTCATGATATCAATCAAAAGAATGAAATTGTCCCGCATCAAGCATGATTTTTAAACAACTAATCAACTCAAACTGGCCACTAGAACTGTATCTCTCGGACTGTAAAGTTAAGTCCTTTGCTAATTAAAGCACAGTGAATGTGAGCTCATATCGGCCCAAAGTAGCATCTAAAGGCTTTTGAAACTGGTTTCTTGGCAGCCGACTCAGACCACACACGCTCACGTCTCATGCACCTGCAACAGCCTAAGAGCCTGAGCATTTCAAAGATCATGTGTAGCCTTCGTCTGCTCTGGTGTCTGGAGGAATTTATCTGAGAAATCTCTGTTCTTCTGTAGTCCTGACATATGTCTTCCCTCAGCTCGTATTTTCACTCCTGCTTTTCTTCTTTCGGCATTAGGAATGCTTTCTTTTGTTCAAGTCAGCCCAAGAGGAGAAACCAGCCTGCTGTGTAATCCTGACAACATTCATAAAAGAGAATTCTTCATAAGTACCCTTGGCACACAGCACCCCTCATCATGTCAGAGGAATCCATGTGTGAGGGACAAAGAGGATTGCTTAGTCTATAAATTGGCTATTCTGACAATGGGGCAATTTTGGTTTTTTTCAAAGTTTGTAAAGCTTAGCGGCACAAATCCCGGCAAGGATTCATGGTGATAAGAAGTGCACCGAAGCTGGTGAACAGGGGGTACCGGCTGGATGACGTGTAAAGTAATCAAATGCATGGTGTTTACATGGTAAACAGTCATGAATTAGAAGTTAGCGTTGGGGAGAATTTGGGAGCCTTTACTGGACGTTCAAGCATTGTGGCAAATCGTGTCTAACATAATAACCATTATTATTGTTGCTAAACTTTTTAAAAGCTTGCTACATGTCTATGACCATCCTGAGTGCTGTCAGTACATCATCCCATGTAGAATTCTGTGAACTGGGTCTTATTTTGTCTCCATTAAAAAATGTTTATTTATTTTTGAGAGAGAGAGAGAGAGAAAGAGAACGTGAGTAGGGGAGGGGCAGAGAGAGAGGGAGAGACTTTCAAGCAGGCTCCTTGCTGTCAGCTTGGAGCCTGCGATGGGGCTCGATCCCATGAACCCAAATCAAGAGTCAGACACTTAACTGACTGAGCCACCCAGGTGCCCCTTATTATCCCCATTTTATTCATGAGGAAACTGAGGAACGAAGTCAGGAAATCTGCTAACGAGAGGCAGGGATGGTGCTGGAACCCAGGCCTCCAGCTACATTGCCTCCACCATCCTCTTCCTGTTTTTAGCTTTAGCAACATTACACGTTGTTTTGGAGACGTGCGGGCTCTTAGACTTGGAGGTCATGAGGAGATCACACCCCACTCTTCACCTTATGGGTGACAACGTAGAGGCTTGGAGAGGTTACCCAACTGACCCAAGGTCAGGCTGAGTAGAGCAAAGAGTAAGACCGATGGCTTTCCACCACTCGGTATCACGGGGGCACTGAACTTCCTCCATTAATTTTGCAGCCAGGAGTTGCCTTTTATTGTACGCCGGTGCTTTCAAATTACATGTCTTATCACCTCCAGAAGTGGGACTAAATCCACGGAGTTTTGCAAAAGTAAATGCACCTCTTGAAATCTGGAAGGCTATGGCTACGGGATTATTCACATAAATACATGGTTGGGAGATGAAATTCTGTGTTGCTTTAGGTAAATCTTTTCCCCTGGCCTTGGACTGTGGGGCTGCAGCGAGTCATAAATGGGTAAGAGAGGAAGTGATGCATCAGGTCATCCAACAGTCACACTGCAGACATCAGCTTAGGCATCTCCTAATTTCACTTAAATGAATCAATAGTTCCCATGTGCCTCAGCTTCGCCTTACTTCCTTCTGGCTCTGAGCGAGGCTGACGGTTGTAACTTTTGAGCATGTAGTATGTACTAAGCACTCCTGGGCTCACCCATTCCTTCACACTCTTAATCCTCCAACAACCTCACCAATGAGGTTCTGTTACCTACCCCATTTTACAGATGAAGAAACCGAGGTTTAAGGAAATAAAGCCACCTGGCCAAGACTGCCTTACCTGAATCCAAGTGATCTAAGTGCCAGGGGTCGGTGGCGGACGACATGGGTGACAGGGTCAGCGGGGAGGCCCCGCAGTTGGACTCCACCAGCTCTCCCTGAATGTGGACGTGAGCAGAGGCGTTGGTCTGCCTCAAGGCTGCCTTGAGAGGCGCAATCTGGTTGAACTGGACTCTGGACAGGCAGCCGGTGAATCCCGGGGTGTTGTATTTGTGAATCTCTTGGTCAATCTTCCCTGTTTCTAAAAGATAAAGAAAGAGAAAATAAAAATCTTCTCCCACTCACTGTAAAATACCCTCATCTTTGATGCCTGCGTCAAACCTTACTCTAAGGTTTCAGTGTGAGATGTTATATTCTTTCAGATAAAATATTAACGACTCGATAAGGCTTAGGGCTGGAGACTTCGCTGTAAAAGGACCTCTGCGTTGCTGGAGAGCATGTCAGTTGAGGGGAACACGACTCTATTTGTTAAAATAAAATGCACACATAATTACCTTCCCGATACCTGAGGTATTGTTTAAAATAACAACACTCACTTGGTTCTGATTGATTTTTCTCCTCTTTCCCCTCTTACATATATTGAACAAGGCCCCCTGCTCAGCCCTCCTGGTAAATTATGGTTCTGTTTTGTGCCTCCTTTTTATTTTCTTCTTCTTCAGAATTCTTTATTTAAAAAAAAAAAAGAAGAGAGTTCCCATAGTCTATATAACAGACCCTTTTCTTTCTTTAGCAACCAATCCCCTCAGAATTTTGAGGTTTATGGAATCCCACCTAGTATCTGATGGACATTTTGGGAGTCAGGAAACTTTCCCGACTCAAGTCACAAATACACACACACACACACACACACGTACGAATCGCTACCTTCCCCAAGTCTGTGCACTGAATGTTTTCCTAAACTAAAGCAGAGGGGAATCTGAGTAGGGGTGTTTCCAATGTATTGTTTCAGTTAATATAACCACACATTGTCTTACCAGTTAGATCGGTAAAAGCAAGTGTCTTTTCCACCCTCTGCCCTGAGTTTTACAGTCTATGAGGCAGAGATGAATGTTGAAAGAGTCTTAGACCTTCCGTCCAGATTGCTGCTTCTCATGGGCGTGGTTCCTGGACCCGCAGCAACCAGCGTCACCTGGGACCTTGTTAGAAATGCCGGGGGTGGAGCGGTCTGTGTTTTCACAAGCCCTCCAGGTGACTGCAGCCCGCTGAGGCTCGAGAACCACAGGGCAGGCACTGATGGCCGCAGCGGGACCAGCCCAGGGGGTGGGCAAATGCCCCTCAGAGAAGAACAGAGCAACTTGTGTTCTGGATGGGAGATTATGCCGACACGACTACTGTCTTTTAAAACCAAGACCAAGGATGTGAGACGCTTGCCCTTCCACCTGAACTGTGAAAAACACTGACTTCGGGAAACAGAAGGCTACCTACTTCTTTAAAAAGTTGAATTCGGAGCAGGTGATGTCTCTTCCTGGGGAATGAACCCAGGTGAAGCAGTCTTGCAGAAAAATTTACTTCCCATTAATGAAAGAATAAATCCATAGAGAAGGATTTTAGGCGTTGGAGGCAGAAGGGGATGAATTGATTATTCATATTAAAGACTCAGTTCAATGGCTGACCTGTACTTGTCCAATGTGAATTTCTATGAACAGAAGAGATGAACAATGGAGAATGGTAATTCTAACAGGGGCTTACTTAGACAAGTACATGAAGAGACTTTAACCTTAAATTAATTCTCCATATTTTCCTCCTACAGTCAATGTCAGTCTGGGATTTGGAGTGAGAGCATGATTCACTTAGCAGAGGAGGCAGAACGCACCCGGGACTGTGAACAAATTCCCACAGTCACGATGTCTCCTACGGGTTCCCTGGATGACCAGGAAGAGGCTCTGGTCCCACTGATCCCTCGCTGGCTGTTCTCTTCTTCCTCCTCTGCTTTCTTGTCAATAATTACAGGGTTACTGGATGAGTGAAGTCATTGATTCATTGGAGGAATGAATACGAACTCATTGCGTCATTGAATGAATTCAGTGATTCTTGTGTTCTTTGTCTCCTGGTCTAATATCAGAATTCCTTGTTTGGGCTTCACCAACTTGCCTTCCATGCAAAGAGCTCATTTATTTGCCTTTCCTGGAAACATCCTCAGACCAAGCAGACTCGGGGTAACTCTTTGTTCCCAGATTGGAAGGGAGACCTCAGCTCCTGGCTTTCCCAAATTCCTGGCGGTCGAGGCACCAGAACAATGGCGGCTGGGTGGTAGAAACCAAGTTCTATCAGCCCCGTCTACTGCGTAAATGGAGAGTTCCTGTTAGCCTGTCCGGCCTTGGAGCAGGGCTTCAGAAGGAAGAATTTGGGGGCTGGTAGCTACTACCGTCTGGTGAGACCTCAATTCAGTTCAATTTAATTCGTTGCATGTACTCACTGCCTGGCCGCAGTAGCCGGAAGGCAGAGATAAATACACAAGTTGACCCTAAGTAGCTCACAACCTAGCTGGGGAAACAAGCGTGCAAACCACAAAGCAGTACAACTGAACAAATCTGTATAATAACAAGAGTTAACATCTACTGAACCTTTAGAACTAGATGCTTTATACACATGCTCGCTATTTTATACAAATTAGACATTTAACACCTAGAACAACCCTATGGAAAGGGAGCACTACTATCCCTATGGAATGTAGGAGAACAGTGAGGCTTATGCCTAGAGCCCTTGGCCAGGCAGGCAGGAGCCTCTGGAACACTGAGATTTTCTGAGCTGAGAAACAAGCCATGTATTTGGCCAAACGATTGAAGTCTATGGTAAACCTGGGAAGGGAGTCTGCATGGGGCTCTGGAGAACACTCTGTCGTTGGATACTTATATCGTTTTCAAGTTTTTTTAAAACATTTTTTTAACGTTTATTTATTTTTGAGAGACAGAGAGAGTCAGAGCATGAGTGGGGGAGGGGCAGAGAGAGAGGGAGACACAGAATGTGAAGCAGCTCCAGGCTCCGAGCTGTCAGCACAGAGCCCAGTGTGGGGCTCGAACCCACGAACTGTGAGATCATGACCTGAGCCGAAGTCGGACGCTTAACTGACTGAGCCACCCAGGCGCTCCAAGTTGTTTTCAAGTTTTTGCTCTCATAAACAATGCTGCAACAAACATGGGAGTGCAGCTCTCTCTTTGCAATCCTGATTTCAATTCTTTTGGGTATATACACATGGGAAGTGAGACCACTGGACCACATGGTAGTTCTCTTAATTTTTTTAAGGAACCGCCATGCTATTTTCCATGGTGGCCACACTGTTCTACAGTCCCGCCAATTTCTCCAAACCTTCGCCAAACTTACCTCTTGCAGGTTTTGAGAATAAAAGAAAAGGGAACTCCAGGTTGAGTTTGTTAGGAGGTTAGTTATGCTCTGGTACTGGTGGGAGCATGATGTGCTCAGAGCTCAGGGCCAGGCTGGGAGGAGCCTTGAATGCCACGTGAAGATGGTTGTATTTAAGATGGAGACTTAAAGTGGTCGAAGTTGCCGAGGACTGTGATGGGAACAGCGTCAGAAAGGTATTTCTAGTTCTAGGCAGCACAGCGCCTGCTCGGAGAAAGTGGTCACGTGAGCCTCCCAGGGCCGCAAACTCTTAAGACAAGTGTCCTTCTCTTTGTTGTCGGGCTGAGACAGGGTTGGGCCGTGGATGTGGGTAAGAGCCTTGGCTAAGCTGTGAGATCGTCTGTATCGGTGAATCAGTCTTGGTTTTGTTGCCTCTGCTGGGGGACTGGGTAATGAACTTCTCACTCCAGCTTCACTTCAGAGTCCCTCACATGCTTTCCGAACTTGATGTAGGGTGAGCTTCCCTACCACACACAGAAAATGAGCACTTTCAAAGCCGTATCTGTCTGAAGGCTCCCAGTTTAACATGGGGTCCCCATTTCTTTTTAAGTTTTTAAAAAACTTTTTTATTCTGAGAGAGCGAGAGTGAGCATGAGTGGGGTAGGGGCGGAGAGAGAGGGAGGGAGAGAATCCCAAGCAGGCTCTCCACTGTCAGCACAGAGCCCGATGCAGGGCTTGAACTCATGAACCAGAGATCATGACCTGAGTCAAAGCTGGACGTTTAACCAACTGAGCCACCCAGGGCCCCGGGGTTCCCATTTCTTAAAGAGGTGTCCTCTCCTGAATGTCTCACACTGAGATGACAGACACAAGGCAGATGGCCAGAGGGGGGGCCAGGGAGGGGGTGCAGGTGGTGGATCAGGGACCCCCGGATGGTGGGAAGGAGCTGTGAGCACAGGTAGACAGGTCAGTGGGGGGTGGGCAGAGTGTAGGGGCTGGGCCGCAAGCACAAGGCCTGTGGGGAGACTGGTGCTTTCTCCTCTCCTCGGGGCTCCTGCACTCTGCTCGCTCGCTCCTGTGGCTTTTCCCCTTTCTGGGTTTGTTCCCTATTGGGGAAGATCCCCAGGGTTTCAAATGTTTTCCTTTCCCAAAAGGCGACTGAGTCACAGAAGCAAGAGTTCTGACGCCCAGGAGAGCAGCACCAACATTTCCAAATCGGATGGCGTTCCAAATCTAGCTGAGGTTGGCTGAGACCCATCCCGCTTGTAGGCCGAGCCGGCAAGATGCTCTTACGTCTTCAGGCCCACGTGGTTCTGACTCTGGGCCGTGGGATCATTATAACATGAAGAGTTTGTACCATAAGCCCGGAATGGCACACATGTGAGGTACTGTGTTTAGTATGTCACCAAGTCTCCCAACAACTCTGGGAGCGAGATTATCCCCACTTCAGAGACGGGAGACTGAGGCATAGGGAAGTTAGGGCTTTGCTAACGAATGAACGTGTATGTTTCATATACAAAACAGAGAAGTCAAATATTTTATTCTCAATTCCTCTCTCTCAAAAATAAAATGAGACTATACTATGCTGTTTTTATATTTACTTGGATTTTGACATTTCTAGTCAGGGACTCTGTAGAAATGTCATAGTGAGTCTAAAAAAAATGTTTTTTTTTAACAGCTATTAGAGCCTCCTCTAAGACCATGTCTCATTAGCAATTTAGCCAGTAACAAAATATTTTTAAATGTTTATTTATTTTTGAAAGAGAAAGAGAGACAGAGACAGAGCACAAGCAGTTGGAGGGGAGGGACAGAGAGGCTTGGGGACACAGAATCCGAAGCAGGCTCCAGGCTCTGGACTGTAAGCAACAGAGCCTGGCATGGGGCTCAAACTCACAAGCTGCGAGATCATGACCTGAGCTGAAGTTGGATGCCCAACCAACT